TTCGTTTTATATGCATTACCCCATATCTCCAGACAGTAAGTCATATATGGAAGCAACAGAGTACAGTACTCCTGTACTCCTTTTGTTGATTATGCTGTGCCCTACGAATTTTCCGTCTGTGATGGTTCTCGAGCCAGCTTTGTACTCTTTTACTACCATGTAATCTATTATAAAGAATACCCAGTCATGCCCAGTCATTGTCTAACATGAAAAAAAGACATCTGCATGGCAGCAAGTTCTTCCAAATCCTCGATTTATTTTTCGGTAATAACAAGGCTTTCATCATGCAAGTTACTCAAGCCCCACACCCTAACAAATGGTTTGATGCTTTAACTCAAGAAAGAGCAGTATTTCATGCCACAAACAGAGTTCAACTAAATGTAAAACATTTGTTGTTATAGGCAGACAATTAGCCAATAACAAACCCTGCTGAAAATAAGGCAAAAAAATGTAGGAGGAAGCAACAGTAAAGGCTGTGAATAAAGCCACAGAGACAAATGACTGAACGATTTGACTAAAAAAACTGAATGTTGCGAAGAGTTGTTTCTGTCTGACTTACTTCCCAGGTTGCCCTCAGATAAATCCAGACAGTGAACTAAATTTCTTTATGCTTACCGACAATGAAGTATGTGTCATCATACTTTGAGACGGTTAAGAAGTCTGTCTTGCGAGGATCAACGTCATGGGAAATGCAGGTGACGCATGAAAGCCTGGCTACTCAAAGCCTGTTTAAAAAAGGTTGTAAACAAGCCTACATGTATCGGAATTTTTTTTTTTTTTTTTTTTTCCCCCATTCTCGATGGATACAGACATCTAAATTTTTAGTAGCAACTGGTGTGAAGATAACATGTTTTAATGCAAATGTTGTCATGTGCATTCTGGTATTGTGAACAACCACAATTGATCACACAGCTTCCGGCTTCTTGTGCCATCCAGTAGAACAATAAAGCTTTTTAATGAATAAAGAGAAAGTGAAATTAAAAGAGAGAAGGGGAGAAAGACACATTTAGAAAAAAAGCAAGTATGTTTTTTTTGTTTTGTAACTACGGAAATGACTCATTAGATGAGCAACATCTTTTGGATAAAACTAGCTCCCATAAACTGCAAACTCACACTCCAAAAAGGATGTTAGCCCAACAACACATGGCAAACTGCAGCTCGTTTGTTAAAAACATTTCTGGAGATCTGAATGGGTTCATTAACTTTGTTGTACTGCTATATCTTGTTATCTTTATGACATGTTGTTGAACCAGAAAGTCACCCAACTCTTTTTTTTTTTTTCACTTATTCCCTCCACTTTACCACAGTTTTGCCCTCACTCTGATTTTTGCACATTTGGCTTCACATGCCATCAGGGTTCTTTTTTCTGACAGATAATTCCTCTGTGCGTCGCTTACCCTTTGCAGATGGAGACAATAAACTTATGTCTATTAAAGAGGATATTGTATTTGAAACTCAAGTAGTAAGTGTGCGAAACAGGGAACGTGTATATTTTCTTCTCTCTCAAACCCCCTGAGTCATCTTTTCCACATATCATTTATCTCAACATGTTCAGTCTGATAAGTTTTTATTGCAACTCCTCTCTCTTCTTTCCACCTTTCTGACCCTCACATCCCTCTATTTAGGTCTAAGCAAGACGACACCAACTGTGTATAACCCACGCACACAAGTCTGTTGTGATGGATGTGTATCTGCGTGGAAGCCTTGGATAGATCAAGTAATGGACTAATTGCTTTACTTTTATTCTGGCTGCTTAGCTGGAAGAGTTTTAATTTTTACTTTTTTTAATGCAAAGGTTAACAATTTTTATCTTTTTAAATTAGCTAATGTACACACATTCATTTCAGTATTAAATTCAAAAGTATTAAGTTCAAAAGAACACTTGAATCTGGAGCACTGACAGGAATGGTACAGAATGATCCCAGAAGAAAAAAAAGAGCTTTTTCTATGCAAGTTTGATTAGAGAGCTCTGAGTTCCACCCTGCTCCTTTTATACAGTAAACAAGGGTATTTACGATCTGATGTCTAAAGGTCATCTAAAGGCATAGGTAGCAGTTACAAGTAATGCAAAAGTGTGTGTGTG